CCTTATTTGAGGCTCTGAAGCTTTCATATAAAGAATTCTTTCAAAAAAAAAATGGTAGCAGAGTAGGAGGATGCTGCATGGACATGCTCCCAGGAACAAGCTGGAATTACAACTGAAATATAGAAAGGCTTCCTGAATAATCAATGGAAAACTCGCAGGAGAGAACCCTGATACCCAAGGCCCGAAGGTGAAGACAGTGCCTGGTCTGTCGAGTCAGCCTGGACGTTGGACCGAAAAGGGTTAACACTGTCCTGCACTAGAGGTTGAGAAGTATAGAGGATCTACCTAAAGCATAGTCACAAACCAAACCAACAACCGAAATGAGGAAACAAAGAAACAACCCCCAATTGAAAGAACTAGTGAATTCTCCAGAAGAAGAGATAAACAGAGATAAGAAATTTATCTGAAACAGAGTTCAGAGTAATGACTGTTAAAAAAGCACAACAGCATGAAAAAAGATATAGTAACTATGAAAAAAGAACAATCTGAGATAACCGGGAATCGGCAGGTCACCGCCCGGCGCCCCAGCTGGGCGCCTCGCCAGAGGTGAGGGTGGGACCCAGACGGTACCTGACCTTGCTGACTTCTTCCAAGTGGCTGAGGTGGCAGCCCATGAGGAAGGCCGTGGGCGCCATGAGGAAGTCCAGCATCTGCCCCGACAGGATGGGCACGAGCGTGTGCTGCCAGCGCAGCGGGTGCAGGTAGGCCAGGAAGCACTCGGCCACCAGCGTCAGCAGCGCCCAGCTCGCCGAGAAGAAGACCAGCCGCTGCTCCGTCAGCAGGCACGCCAGGATCTGCGGGGACAGGCCGGCCGCGGACGCCGTGACCCCAGCAAAGCCAGAACCCGGTGCCGCTTCTGCCTGGGTTTCCCTGCTCCACTTGCCAAAACAAAAGCCCCCGGGATGCCCCCCAAAAGGAGCAATTTGTAAATAGTGTGCACAGCAGTGAATGCTAAAATTTTTAAACAAAAAAATTAACATTTACCCCGCCGGTTGTGGCTCAGCGGTTGAGCACTGACCCAGGAACCAAGAGGTCACCGGTCTGATTCCCAATCAGGGCACAGGCCTGGGTTGCAGGCTCGATCCCCTGATTGCGGGCTCCCGGCCCTGGTGGCGAGCAAGCAGGAGGCAACCAATCCATGTCTCTCTCACACGGGTGTTTCTCTGTCTCCCCCTCCCTTCCGCTCTCTCTAAAGCCAATGGGAAAGTATCCGCGGGTGAGGATTCACAAAAAACGACTGACGAGCCAGCCTAGGCTCCGCGGGTCCCCCACGGGGGTGGCCCGTGGCCCGTCCTCGCACTCGAGGGGGAGGCTGAGCAGGGCAGTGAAGGCTGGGAGAGGCCGCAGCTCCCAGAGCCCAGGGGCGCCCACGGCGCACGGGAAAAGCACCGTGAAAATGTGGGGGGAGTGCAAGGAAGATGGGAGGTGCAAACACGGGGAGGGCCAGTGTGGGGGCTCAGAGGAACCCCAAATAAGCCCTCGGGGGGGAGCCTGCCACGCAGCTCGTTACAGGTGCTGAGTGTGGGCCTGCAGGAACCTATCGCTTATCTGTACCATGAACATGACCTC